ATTTCTGAAAGAGTAAATACAAAACAAGCTTTTTTCTTCAAAATAATAATAAAAAAAAAAAAAAATAAGTAGCTGGTATTTTCTTTGCCTCAATTTACAACTAGTTTAATTTCAACTAGAGTAAAGCATTAACTTATTTTTTATTTATGAAGGCTCTAGAATTAAACAATTTTTTTTGTTTTGTTTTTTACTGCGCTAAAAGTAAATATAAGAATTAGTTTACTTACATAAAAGCAAATGCATAATCTGTTTCTTTTAAATTAAAATTAAGTAAAGAGGATAGTTTATTGCAGTAACGTATTTAAATCAACACCATACTTAAACTGTTTTCATTTCATCAAGGCTAGACTTAAATCAAGGTTAAATGCATTGATAGCTTATACTGAATCATTGATATACATCATGTCACATGCGGGTTATCTGCGAAGGACTATGAATGTGAATGTGAATCGTATTTATGTTAGCCATGATGCAAAGCCATCTCATATAGCTATGCCATTTATTCTCCGAAAATAAAATTCATGACGAATAAGCAGTGTTTCGCGACTCGTCATTTGTGGGTTTTATAGTAACAGAAAAAGCATAATTTTTCATACTAATGTTTAAAGGCTGTATGTAATTACCGTACTTTATAAGACATTTCTCCCGCCTTCTTAGAGACCCTTCGTGGTGTAGTGGTCTGCACGCTCGGCGCTTATTCCAGAGGTCCGTGGTTCGAGTACCGGCGAAAGTGTTGCTCATTTTCCATGTCTCCTGCTTCTAAAAATCCTAATGTCTCTACAGTGGCGCTCGAACTAAAAAAGGTGGTGGATGATGATTCTCCACCACCAAGATTTGACAATTGGGTCCTCTAATCCCCATTCGCCCTTTAAATGGGGGGGGGTATATAAGGTATTTCTCCCGCCTTCTTAGCATGCTTTCGTGGTGTAGTGGTCAACACGCTATTCGAGAGATCCGTGGTTCGAGTCCCAGCGAGGGCATTGCTCACTTTTCATCTTTCCTGTTTACCAAAAATTCTAATTTCTGTACAACCAATCTACACATCGTATATAACAGGAAAATTAATCTAATACCTTCTTAGAAATTATACACTTTACTATGTTATCTTTATATGTTAAATGGACGAAAAAGAATTTACAACAGCAAAACAAGAGATACGAATAACTGCACTTTCGAACAAATTCTATTGTATGCATCCAGTTACATGTTGCACGACTGAATGAGTTACATGTTGCACGACTGAATGAGTTACATGTTGCACGACTGCACTGACTTTGTATGAAAAACAAAAGCGTTTCCATTAGAAGATCACTTAAAACGCTTTTGCGATGTGCTTTTCCATACCGCAAGTGTCAAGAAAAAAAAATTTTTTTTTTTTTTTTTTTTTCAAAACATTTTACTTAGGGAAGGAAAGCATCCTCAGCTAAAGCAACAACGTGGGGGGGGGAGAACACCTGGAAAACAAATAGTAGCGTCAAATCATTCCTTTCCGTAAACTATAAATCTTTCATTTCATATGCAAAAGCTTACGCTTCCAAAATAAGTGGGCGGGACTTATGATTATGAAACATCAAGAGTAGGAAGGCAACAAAGCAATGCCTGCGGTAACCTGTTCTTAACACTCAGTTCTGATTGACCTTGACTTAACACTGACCTTTTTATTACGTGCAAATTCAAAAGAATCGCGTATTTTCTAGAACATTCCTTCGTATGATGCAAGATGTACTCTTCATAGGCTTTGTGCTTGGAACTTGCTTGCAGCTTCTTTCCGGAAACCGGTAACCAGTGGGCTCTGAGAAAAGTTAGGCGTGAGATGCAAGTTTATTATGTCAGAGTTGTTCTCGAACAGAGCAAAAGGTTACGTTCGTGTACCTACCATTAAATTACTTTCACTAAAGGCAAGTTCTTTAGAAAGTATTTTTATGTGAAGGTATTATTATTATATTTTTCGTGGACCTTTGTGGTTATTTTGTCTGGGTTTTCCCACTGTCTATGCACTGCCAATACATAAATTATGAATTGAACTAAGTAATAGAAACTATTATGGCATATTATATAAAGTTTATTTCTATGAATTGAACTAAATAATAGAAACTATAATGGCATATTATATAAAGTTTATTTCACGATCTGAAATGTCTAACTTATTGTTTAATTTTCAGAAAAATATAACTATGATTGTGAGTTTCATTTGTTATTAAAAAATTCAGTGCACGCGCTGAAACGAATAATATTCTCGACTGGGCTTTTTTTATCAATGCCGGTAAATACTCCCCCCTCGATATAAATTCAAGTTAATTATCACATTTCGAATGAAAAGATTATAGCGTAAAAATATGCGTCTTGTTGATCCGTAAAAGTCAAGTATAGTAAACAAAATTTTAGGTCTTCAACATAACAGTGATTTTTTTTTTTTTTACGGTTTTTCATTAAACAAGAAACATTAAAACTAATTAATTACGCATAAAGTGCCAAAAATCAGGATCTATGATCTAAAACATGTAACATGAAATGCAAAAGGAACATTAAATGTTCGTTAAAAATGCGGTGTATTGCTCCGCTTTAACGAAAATTTAACTATTTATTGCAATAAATAGTGGTGCTTTAGACTTTCCAGTTGAGATTTGTGATTGCCTATCCATAAACTCTGTTTTCAACTCTTTTCAAAATAAATACGGGTATTTGATGCGTTTGTCAGGTAATATTCAGTTGTTCCTGAGCCATATCATAACGACTTGTTCTTAAGAAGAACAATACAAAGCATAATGGCTTCTAAACTTTAAGTATAATGGCTTCTAAACTGAGTTAAGGAGCCATTATGCTTAAAAGCCTTTTTGAAAAGATGAAAATCAGCTAGTGTCAGACTGAGAGAATAGGATTAAAAAAGAACCATATCTCTTCCTAATGTTACTGTGGACAGGATCAACTTGATTGTGAGAGAAGTGTGAACAATGGTACCACCTTTTGAAAATATGCACAGAGATTTGCCGTGATATCGTTGAAAATTTTTAAAAGTCAAGCTTTCAGAGAATTTTTCAAGGAGTAATTATGTTATTTTTACAAAACTAAACGAACTCCAACATCTCTACAAATAATTCTAAAACGATCATAGTTGGTGGTGCATCCAAAGATTAACCTGGATGGCTGGTTTAAATCTTTTGTTACCCATCTCAGTGATTTTTTTATAATAATCTATAAACTCTTTCAGTTTGAGGAGCTCTGGATAAAAGCAAACGCTTATGCTTTTCCTAACCAGTGGAATTACTCATTGGAAGAACAGCAGTGCTTTTCTTTTTAATGCCAATAAATGACCAAAACAAAAACAATAATCAAGTGACCAACCCATAGCAGGGAAGATAAGAAACAGGTTGTAGAATATGCTTGCTAAAAACCAAAGTATTTACTGTGGCCAATGAAAACTAAAGAAAAAAAAAAACGTATTTGAAATAGATTAGCGTAAAGAGTGGATAATGCCCAAAAAGCCGTTTAAATTTCGTTGGTTTTTTTATTTTTATTAAGATTTGTTATATTCGAATGCATACATAAAATAAGAGGGAATTAATAGTAAATAAAAACGTTATTTTTCAATTTTCATACTTCAGTTATTTTATACAAGCGCTTATTTGAGAATCTTTATACTAATTTTTAAGCTTATTAGGTTTTCATGAAATTTTTTAAAAAGAAAAATTTAGAGTATAATGACTAAAGTAAATCTAATTTAAATCTCTTAGGTAATTAAGGGAGATAGAAACAAACGGGAATTCTTCTTTTAAATAAGCTCTTTTCCGTTATGACTACGCAAGATATATCTATGAACAGAGGTTAACTTATTGAACATATTTTTATTACGACTAACTATTTTATCTACATAGTATCGTGCTACTCGCTGCATGAAGCATAAATATAGCTGAATAATAATACGCTTGCGTATTTAATTCAATTACAAGTACATTATCATCTAAATTTCTCTCTCAGCATTCTTCTCTTGGCAGACAGAATGCTTCTTGCTATAAAATAAATATTCATTGTAGCAAAAAGTAGGAAGAAATTAAAGAGCTCGGCATATGAAGCAGGTGAAGAAAGTAACTGAAGTCCTCTAAATCAGGTATTAAGAAAAAAAAAGAAGTTGTCTATTTGTTTTCACTGACCGCCCAAATTTATTTCTGTATAATTTATCCAGTTAATTTCTAAAACGTTTTGACTTAATTTTCTTAATATTACTTTTTCGTGCGCATGTTTACAACACATCTCTAATTAAATTGATTTCGCTTGATTGCTTTGGCTCATAAGTACATCAAAATTTCATTGATTTTAAAATTTAATATTGAATACTGCAATGCAAAATATTTTTGCCACTTGGTTTCCTTAGTTTTATCAGCTTAAATTATACACTTTCTCAATATTTTTCGTCATTTTTCTATTGTTAATATTTAATTTTTTTAAATTTGAGTTGAATAACTTTAAAAACACAGAAGGCATGAAAATAAAAAAAGTAATACCATTGTCGTTCAATTTAATAAAATTTAATAAACTGAATTAAATTAAAATTTTGTTTCTTGTTTATATCTGATATTTATATTTTCAAAAAAAAATTGTTTTGCTATTAAATCATTATTACATTTATTTACTATGTAAAGTACTACCGGAACCTCATCAAATTTCCTTAATTTATTTAACCTTATTATATTTACATCATTTATTTTATCTATAAGCACCGGCATCTATTTAGAAGCAGAATAAATTTTACATTATTAGTCTCATTGGGAAATAGCTGCATCCTTACAATTACGTTTTATATCTTATAATTACATAACATTCTTATAATTATATTTTTAAAAATTACTTATATAATAGCTGAAAAAACATTTCATTTGTATTTCACAGATATTATATAATTTTTTTTTTTTTTTTAAGTTCAGAAATTCAGAATCAAAGTAATTATTGGGCACTATTAAAAAGAAAAAAAATTTTACCTTGTCCTCAGATAATAAAAAATAACCTTTCAGCACAAAATCAACATTAATGTTTATTAACAATGATTACAAGATTAACAACAAAATGCGAGTATAATAACAACAAATGTCTCTTCAATATGTCATCAACACGATAAACACTGAAAAGAAGTAAAAATATAAAAACTACCACCATAATATACACAACAAGCTTTTGAAAGCAATGATAGCAAGCTGGAATGGAATGCTAATCATAGCTGAAAAAAAGGTTTTATAAAAATTATCTATTTATCCAATCTAAAGAAGCTCGAATACTAGTAATGATTATTTATCCCTTATGAAGGGAAGAAGTAATAATTTCCAGGGTTATTATCCTTCACGTCAAAATCTCCTCCAACCCTGAAAAATACAATTCACACTGCAGACACTTAAGTGCTAGATTTTCTAGAAGGCCATAGATACTCGTTTGAAAATGTGGTTTTATAACACCAAAGTGTCACATGTTGGTTTTTCTGAGAACAAATGAGAGGATGGAAAATAACTTGTTTTTATGCAAACAATATTCCCAATTTTACTCAACCATGCTGTTTACAATCCTGATAATAAAGTTAAGTTTACTATTAACAGTTCATTTATGTTTGTTGAGCAATGCCATACACTGTTTCATTTCATATATTTCGTAATGGTGTTTAATCACCAATTATTAATTTCATATCGTAATAATTAAACATTTTTTCCTTCAGTCCAGATATGTTCTGCTGCGTCTAAACATCGATTGAGATATTATCTAAATACAGACACACTGAATATCACGTATTCGATATCAAAATAGAGAGCCACTGAGGCTTGATGAACATAATTAATTAAAAAAACTTTTTTTTAAATATATATCATTTACTACCATCTAAGCAACTCTTTTCCTCCTCTTTTTTGCTGTAATTGTTGTTCCCCTTCGTTCACTTGGTCTAATAATTTCTGGCGATGTCAGATTTGATACTCTTGGATCGAAAACAGGATAGAAAACCTTTCTAGAGTTTTGGCTTGATACATCTGATTGTCGCAGCGCAGCTTCAATGACATCTTTAGCTGTCAGTGGCCTTTCTTCGGAATCTTCAAGCCTTAGAGCTGTCTTTTTTGAATCTGGCATTATTCTATCTGAATGAACTGTCTCTAATTCTCCTCGCACTCTGGATGATTCACTATTTCTTGATTGTTTTTCTCTGCTTTGAGAGTTCTGATATCTTTTCTCCCGAATAATTACATCGCTTGGTTCTCTAGAGTAAGTTGTTGACATCGAAGAGCTTAAAACAATATCTCTAGCGCTTGAAACTAGCCTGGGTGGAGGCTTCCTGCTAGAATCTGAACTTGATGGATAGGCATCTATTAGATCACGATTTCTTGAAACTGGAATTGAATCAATGAAACGACGGTCATCTGGTAGCAATGCGGGACGTACGTCCGGTTCTGACTTTCTCGGTCTATCATCGAGCCTTTCTGGCCTTGTAGGTATTCTTCTGTCATCTGATGCATCTCTTATAGGTATTTCTTTTCTGATACCTCTTTCATCTAATTCTCTCCTTCTGTAACGTTCATCATCATCTAATGGGTATGTTTCCGCCTTTCTCGATGAGGATCTATCGTTTAAAGGCCCATAACGGTCATCATCCCGATCATACCTGCGGTACTCGTCATCGTATCTGTCCTTAGAGCGAGTCCGATCAGTATCATAATCAGTTCTAGTCCTGTCTCGCCTATACTCATCCTCCGCAGAACTGCCTCTTCGCACATACCTATCATCATCTCTATAGTCTCTTTCATCTGTTGGCCTTCTGTCTCGATCTGTGTAATCATAAGGTATTCTTGTTCTCGAGTTGCTTCGACGATATTTGTCATCATCTTCTGAGGCGTAGGATCGACGGTCTAACTTGACTTCATCACCTCGATCAACGTATTTTGCGTCTACTCTTCTTTCTTCTGGAATGTCACCTCTTGTCAGTTTACGAGTACCACTGGCTGAACTAGGAGAGGATAATGTACTTCTAGAGTCATCAAGCCTTCTTATTCTATCATCATCGTCATAATATTTATCATCTCTTAATCTCGATTCTTTACGCTCATCTGAAAATCTAGTTTCATCTCTTGGCTTGAGGTCAATTGCAGAAGGTCTGGGTACGAACGTTTCATCTCTGGATCGGTCATCGACTAAAGACGATCGAGAAATGTACGCATCATCTCGTACTCTTGTCGGAACGATTTTATCATCTCTTTCATCAATACGGGAAGGTCTTCGATAATCTTCATCTTTATCGCGAGCTACATACCGATCTTCGGTAGAAATAGATCTTACCGGTATTTCTGCTCTAGATATTATTACATCATCACGTGCGTATGGTCGTGGACGATCTATGACATCAGGTTCGTAATCTGCTCTTCTTCTAGTATCTCTAGAACTTGTTTCAGATCTAACTGGTAATGGCCTTCTTTCTATGAGAGGTATTTCATCAGTTCTGCTTATAACGGCAGGTTCCTTGTAATCTTTGTTTCGTCGTCGAGATTCTTCCTCATCTCTGTATCTGTCATCGTCAATCCGAGGTCTATACGATACATCTCTACTTAAGTAATCATAATCCCTATCTTTTATCTTGTCTTCAGGAATTCTGTCCCTAAGTCTATCATCATCTCTAGTTCTGTATCTATCATCATCTCTATCCCGATATCTGTCTTCGTCTCTGTATCTATATCGCTCCTCTCTTGTTCTGTATCGATCAGTATCTTTATCATCGATAGATTTATATCTGTCCTCGGGTATCTTGTCCCTATATTTCTCTCTTTCCTCTACTGATCTGTAACGGTATCTTTCATCACGGTCCCGATACCTATCATCGTAATCTCTGTCTCTATATCTATCATCATCACCTCGTCTCCTTGTTTCGTCTGGATACCTATCATCATACCTATCGTCTCTTGTCCTGTACCTGTCATCATCTGCTAACCTATCACGATACCTATCATCGCTTCTGGATATTGGTCTATCAGTTCTTTCCTTTTCCAGAGGAATCTTCAAATCGCCATCTGGATAAACTCTGGTATCTCCTTTAGAATATCTATCATCGCTTTCTCGTCCCCTATCTCTCTTGTCATAGCGACTACGAGATCCCCTGGTATCATCGTCATCATCATATCTCGATCTTTCTCTGTCAATGATTGAAGGGGGCCTTCGTGGATAGTCTCTTTCGAAATCGGGATCTCTGTAAGGTGGTACATCATCAGAGCGTCTAGAGCTCTGAATTTCATCTCGCTTTGTTGAAGCTGGTCTATCTTTCTCCGTGTAATCAATAGAAGGAGATCTTTCTGAAAATAAATGTAATTTAAATTATTACCATTATTTACGTTTTAATCAACAAAATTATTAATGAAGGGGGAGAAATCTCAAATATTTTTGAAAGAGTACAGTTTTTGCTTTCTTCATCTGATGTGTTGTTTACCAAAATAAATGGAATTAAAACCAGGGAAAAGAAAAATGGTTTACCTCCGGAATTAAGATTGGAAAAGTAATTGAAAGTGAAAATATAACCAACATTTAAATCAAAATTTTCTCTTCAGAATATTAGAAGTAAACATGGGAAATAGAATATCTTTCTTCTTAAGACAGAATTGTAACAAATGAAAGATTATTAATCGATTTCCTTTCGCATTTAAAGATTTTCATTTCTGTAATTTTATAAAATGAGTTTGTCATTTTTAAGTCGATATAATCAGTTCCTCTCCGCATGATCTCGATTATTGTAAGGAGTTAAAAGAAGGTTTTGAGCAAGCGGTTTATACCTGATAAAATGTCTGCAAACATATCATAACGAAAAGCCTTTTATTCAGGAAAAATAATAACATTCTCACTGAAAAAGAGTTTCCTCAGGCTAATGCGATGTACGAAAAATATCACAGTTCTGGAAAGAGAATGACTAAATCAGATAGGATTGGAAGACTAATGATGAAATATCAAAATCAGTAATAGTGCTATTAATAAATATAATGTTGCATAAAGTGCTCCATCTAAGTTCATTTATAAAAAAGGCTTCTGTTTCCCCCCTAGATATATGTTTCCAGGTCTAAAATCCGACTTGTTGCCTGGATTCATTTTTTCCATTTGTACATTTGTAACATTTTGAGATTTAAAAAAAAATTATGATGATTTTTGTTTTGTTTCTTACCAATGAAATAAGAAAATGACAGCGAGATCTACTGCTTTGTCAATCTAAATTTATATTTACTGCTTTTGGTAGAATGAACGCTGTGATATTTATTTGTTCAATCGATTGTAAAAAGCACGCCCGGGCTATTTGTTTAAAGAAATCATGCGTTTGCGTCGGAATTTTCAACTGAAACTGGCTTATATTTACTGTAAACATAGAAAGGTTTACGTAAACGCTACTGCAACCAGACTGTTCACAGAAGTTCAACTAATTCCTAATATTAGAGCTAAGCAGTAATGGCCAGTTGGCACTGGTGGGCTCTGAATCCTAACAAGAGAAAACTATGCCTTAATTATTATTTAAGTTGGAATTGGCTTATTCAATACGAGCTTCAAAATAACATACGAAGTCATACATCTGATTCATATGTTTACTAGTACAGTTATTATTAAGAAGGAAGAAAGCTGTATGCTTTTTTTATCTTTCAAATGAGAATTTTATTCCTATGAAATGTAAACAAGTTTCTTGCTTTCCTTAGAGCCAAAAAACTCGCTTCATTTCATTATTATTTTGCATGCTAGGCACAAAATTTCCGAAACGGTTTGGGCATCTGGAAGACTGAAAATGCTGTCTCACTCCAATCTCATGTGAGAGATTCAGAACCCGCCGCTTATTAAACTCACTAATTAATAAACACTCCCGTTAACTACATTCAGATTTCCAGGAACCAAAACAAATACATACTAATCAATAAAAAAACCCGTTTTATTAAACTCATCCTCAGCGCTTATTAAACTCAGTTTGGTAAACGCCTAATCCAAAAAAATCCTACTTTGTACATATCAAAGCTTTATGAAGCTTTTTGCTGTTCGTTTATTTATTTATTGTGGACCGTGGCTTTATCATTCAGGTATGTAACACTTCAGTAAAACGAGTCTGACGGAAATTTTCCTTCCTTCCTGTCCCTGTACCTCCGAGAGACTGCTTTCAGAATTCTTCGTTCGCATGGACTTCAGAAAGAATTTCCTTACATTAACTCTTTGAAGGGCGGTGGTTACCTACAGTAACCACCCTTTCTATTGAACGTCTCACTCACTCGTATAAGTGGTTTTCAAGACTGACCATTTCTGAAGTTCCTTTGTAACTCACTAGATGGCAATCAAGAAACATAAGCCAGTATTTGATGCAGCAATTCGTCTTCAAGAAAATAAGCATCAGCCATCGAAGACAACATCACGACTATGTGCACGCTGCAGCACCTAGGAAATGTCTGTAAGAAGAGTGTGGGAAAGCAGCACATGCAAAGTTGCACTCTGCTTATAAACGAAAAACTGTTTCCATTAGTACTATAGAGATTGGTTTGTGGTCTGTGGGCGGTGGTCACCGACACTAACCAAGTGGTCATTTTAACTAAGCGGTCATTTTTTTTCCACGCGTCTCGGACAAAATATGTGTAATTGTCGCAAATAATTTCACTGTAACACCTGATATAGTAAATGAAACAAGAGTTTTGCTGAAAAAGTTAATTGCCTTTTCCTGCCCCTCAAAGAGTTACAGTTAACAAAAACAGTTCTCTAGAAACCTTATAAATGAGTGAGGATTCCTTCTAGAATACCAAATGACAGATGGTGAAAATGGAACTTTCATATCCCATCTTTTAATGTTTCCATATTCAAAATCTTCCTTTTAGAATATATACGTTATGCTCGCAAAGAGATACAAAAAAGTTGACGAAATGCTTCCAACCATTAAAGATTAATAATTAAGGATTTTAATGTTCTTGGTAATTGCAGCCAGTGAAGAATTACTTTTAAACTGGAAATTTCTACATCAGCATTATGTAATTTACTTAAACAGGCAATTAGAATTAAGTAAGCACTAATAAAAAAGGGTAAATGTTTCAAGAAAGCGCAAAAAAGAAAATTCAGACAAGTTAAAATTGATTTTCTAGAATGATTTCAAGCTTTAATCTTCAAAAAATGCTTCCGTTTTTAGACCATTTGTTTTGCTAATCGATAAATGCTAGAAAGAATTTTATGCTAGCTGACATATTCTTATAATCCGCAATGAATCTGATTTTAGCACTACTGTTTACTGTAAACGCTTTTCTGTTAGCCTCCCCATGCTAAATCATGTCACCCGGATAAAGAAAAAATGGCTTCTTTTTACTATTCATTTCGCATTATAAAATTTGCTCTTCAGAATCTTTACTTTCTAATGAACTGAATTATTTGAAATCATTTGACACTGACAGAATGTTTTCTTCAATGGTAATTGATAAAGCTTTAAAACCAAATTAATTCACCTTGCCATCAAAGAAGACATTCCGTTGTTAGAAATAATATTAATAACCTTATTTATCTTCCATTTCACGCTTGTATCGGTTACAAAATTGCTCGGATTTTCCAGAAGTTCCACTCAAACCATTTTTTTACCCATCGATAAAATCCATTAAAGCATTATAGAGGATCCAGAGCGTTTAAGTTTTGCATTAAGGAACCCAAATTTTATGTCCGAAAAGATGAAATAAAGCAAACCTCCGATAGCTAATCATTGTTGGATATGTTATCACAGTTTTGACTTTGTCTCTGCAAAAAGTATCTAAAGGGCTTCTTCATTTGGTGAATTTGGATTTCTTTGAAGCTTTTGGCATTCACACAAGTTTCTCTTGTTCAATTAATGACTCTAATCCAATTCTTCCTAATACTTTTAAAATACTATTAATTTAATTTTCACGTTTGGTTACTATTTCTGTGGAACACATAGTGCTGCCTCCTGTTCGTTTTATTGTTTAGCTTTTGTTATAAATACCGTTCTCTTCTTTGCAGATTTCTTTTCTCCTGAAGATGAGAGACCTGAACCTCTTGTCCTCGAAATCGATAGAATCTTGGTTATTTTAACCAAGACATACGGCAAATAGAAGATTGCTTCTTTGCCTAATTTTAAGCTTCAAATTTAATTCTGAATGTATTTAAAACTTTAAACGCTGTACAGAAGAATAAACATATATTTCTACATATACTGAATTTCATTGCTTGAAAAAAAAATTAAAAAGCATGCATTGGAATGATGAATAAAGAATTTTCCTTTGTATTCGGTCTTTTTAAAATGACTAGATCAGATTCAAAAGGAACATCCAGTGTTAATTTTCTTATATCAAACGTATTTTAAAAACTAAAGATAAGATAATCAATACACATTAAAAATGCGAGGCATTGCTGACATTTGAAGCATTTACTTTAAGAGCAGCGCAGTAACTCATAACGGAAGAGTTTTATTGTACTGTCAGAGGAGGGTAGATTGTTTGATTATAGCAAAATACTCGAGACTTATCTAAGGGGAGGGGTGCCTTCGTAAAGGACTTTTTAAAGAATCCGATTCGTACACACATTACATAACCACGAAAACGCCCATGCAGCTAGCCCGTTTGCCGGAATTCAAACCACAAACCGAACTACCAGTATTTAGCCACTTTTTTACCGCTCGACCGTTGATGTGCTTTATTGTCAAAAGAATTTAAAATATTCGGACAGCCAAGAAGTAATCAGTGATGTTGATTTCTTCAACGCAATTAACTTTGGTACCCTTTTATTTTCTTTATTGTTTTCCATTCTGTATATCTTATCATTTTGATTTAAATTACTCGAGTTAAGCAAATCAATCGAAAAGTCGATAGTGAGGAAGTGTACAACAATAATAATGAAGCATTACTCAAGCGCAGGAATGATCAAGGAATCGTTTTGAAACATTGTACAATTAAAGAGGGACTGCGTTTATTATTACAGTCAGTTAACAGGGGGATGAAAAGTTATTGAACCACAAAAACGTCATCAAAATTTCTGCCACAGAAAAGCTCTTTCATTTTTTGGGCCTTGTTTGCGACAATTGCCTCGACTGCGGTTCCTGCATCTTATGAGAATTTAGTTTGAAGTTCTGAAATATAAGACATTTAACTCGATAATGAGCACAATATTCCCATACTAAGTGAGTTGATTAAGAGTTAGAGTGTAGAAATTCTAATAAATTTTAGGTTATGTTTTCAGCACCTTTTTGACACCCATTCTTTGGAGTCTATCCATAATATTGCTATGAATATATTTAAATATTTTCCTATCTGAATGCGCAATGTTACTCTTAATTTTTGCGTTCGTTCTCATCATTAAAATTTCATTATAATCTATGGTAATTAAGTACAGTTCCCAAAAGTTAAGTTTTTGCTTAGCTGGTTTGGAAGTAATTATGCTGAATAATAGCTTTCGCATGCAGCTATTGTTCATCACTATTAATAATGAATAATAATTTTTATCAGTAATATGCTCAGTTAAAACATTAAAAATTAACACAAGCAAATTTTGGAACACAGTTATTTTGTCCGAAGAATCAAAGTTTAACATTTTCGAGAGTGATGGACGGCATTATGTGTGGAGAAAGCCTAACACTGAACTGAAAAAACATCATTTAACACTGACTGTAAAACATGTTGAAGGCAGCATCGTAGTTTGGATCTTTATGGCAGCAAACTCAGAGTTGGTAACCTGTCCTTCATTGATGATATTACTTTGACATATTGAGCCATAACATGAAATTCAGTCCAAAAACTTGGCTTAGGAACATCATTTGTGTTTCAAAAAGGACAATGACCCTAAGGATACAGTGAACCTCACCTGGCAATAGTTATATAACGCTTTATAACGCTCCTCGCCAGTTAAAGACACCGCCTCAATCGCCTGACATAAATTCATTTGACACTTTATGGCATAAATTGGACCTAGAAGTCAGGAAACATAAAATTTCGTATAAAGATTAACTTAAGTGTATACTCCTGCAAGAATGTCACAAAATTCCCAACAGAATTTTGGTTTTTCCCAACAGGACTTTGGTTTTCTCCACGAGAAATAGATTGCAAGCTGTTATAAATGCAAAAGCTATGAGTACAAAGTATTGAATTTTATTTCCACATTTCGCTGTATGATCTAGCCAATACATTTTTGACATGCAAATTTACGTTTTGGTTACATAATTTGTGTAAAAGGCAGAGTAGAAACGAAAGTTTCATTAGATGTCTTAATTGCCTCCTGTGTTCATTATGTCCAGCTAAAATTGCCAACCATTTCCTTTGTTAGCTAGATTGATCAATTATAGGCAATTGCTAGTACTTTTTTAATCTCTGCATATGGCTGAAACGTTTAATTATACCTGTGCAATGGCTAAAACGTTTTATCATGTTTCAATAACTGAACCTGTCAGAAAAACCGATGATATTAAAATCACTCATTTCCGGCCTGATTGTTGTCTTTTAGCTTAAGTTTCTAAAACCTTTAACGTGCACAAGATGACAGCGTATTCAGAAAGATTTTAAACAAACTGGTTTTTAAGTAATGCATTACTACATTACTTAAAATCCTTCGTCCTTTTGTCTAGAAATCTCTTCACTAAAACTGCAATAATTGATGCAAAATATGTTTGCTTGTCAGAGCGCCATGATTCACAGGCATATCAGACTCATAGGATCATTATGCTTTCCTAATTTAGATTTAGCATTATTCTCTTGAATATTTCTGTAAGTCTTTGGGTAATGTTCAAAAATTTTTCTTTTTCTCTTATTTTGGGTGGATGTAGATGCTAAGGAGCATTTTTGTAGCCCGATCTAATTGCAGATCTGGAGCAAGTTTCCCCTTACATTCTGAAGAAAAAGATCAAGTAGAGATATTTAACAAGAAAACAGAGTTGCCAACCAAAGCAAGATCGTGCACTAAGCAGTCGAAATTTACCCTTCCGCATGTTTGAGGTACTTTTACAGAGATTCGAAAAGCAGTTCAGCAGAGTTAGAGTGCGAATGTCTTTCAAGTTTTCTAAATATTTTTTTCATAACTCTTTGTAAAAATATGAATAATTAATATAGGGTATATTTAATTTCTATAATAATTAATATAGTATAATTAAAGTATTATAAATTAATATTTAAATAGGTAATATAAAATAATATTAATAATATATACATTATGCATAAACAACAATCTTTATAAATAAATTTCGTAGTTCATTTGTAAATACATCATAATTAAAACCCCAAATAATTATAAGATATCTGTGGCCTAGAGTCTAAACCCGCAAAATGCTAGTAATCGTGATACGAGCTCCTTTACCTTGTGATGAAAACGGTTGGCTGGTTTGGTATTTGATATGATGAGAAAACTTATAGTGATTATGTAACATGGACATAATCTCGAACCAGCAGTTTCGTTTTACTTGATGTACGTTATTATAAACTTCACCACTGAAATTAGCATTTTTGCTGTCTGTTAACACTAAGTTTTGACAAAATTGTACAATAACTAAATGCAACCAGAAATATATCAATGAGTACTTTATCAGCATTTTGACTAGAAAAAGCAGAAATATGCTTATGAAGTGTGTAGAGACATTAGCTTATTTCGAAGCAGGAGAGATGAAAAATGAGCAACGCCTTCGCCCGGAATCGAACCACGGACCTCTGGAATACGCGCCCAGCGTGCTGACCACAACGCTACGAAGGCATGCTAAGAAGGCGGGAGAAATACCTTATAAGTGTTCCCAATGTCTTAATGCTAATGTTAATTTTAGAACTCTTCATACTATTTCTAGAAATTATTTGATCCATTCTGAAGTTAATACTTGGAGCGTATTTTTCATCCAAAGAAAATAAGAGAATATGCCAATATTCTCTTATTTTCTCTTAATTCTCTATTCTCTATTTCTATTTTCTATATTTAAGTTAAAAATCAGTCCTCCCCGCAAGAAATAGGGCAACTTTAGTAGCTGTTTTCACGGAATTACTTCTGTGTTCTGAAAAAGAACAGTGGTCTGGGTCTGGCCGCCCTCAAAATAAATAGAGTTATTCAAAATCTACTAAGACTGTTTCTTTTGTTTAATTTTAAATGGTTTCTTCGATTCGAAACCAAGTTGTTTGATGATTTAATCCCTTACATAATGACATATCACTGTCATTTACCAATTTTTATAACTTATTTTAACATTATTTGGCAACTTTACTTCAGTCAAAAAACTGTATTCTATATATTGTGATCATATCAACCAAATTGTTGATCACAAAATGTTAACTATTTTCCATTTCTTCGTATACAAGCGGGCGAGATTTCGAAAAATCGATAACGATATTCCAGGTTACAAATGTATAACAATATACAACAATTTTCAAGGTTAAATTAAACATTTATTTTTTCTTCTAATCCCAGAATATAAGTTGATATCGTTATTTTTAACAGTACTCGAATGGTATAGGCCTAGGTCTTTGAGTTGTTAACTAAACAAAGAACTGTGTTCTAAAATAAGCAAAGAATATAGTATTGAAACCAAGCATACAAATTATAAACCGCTAAAAAAAGCAGAAAATAGTCTTTTTTAATGAGAATGCAGACAAAAGAAAAAATTCGATTTCATCACCAAACTTCACATTTTTAAATCATGAAAAACAGAGTCCAGTGTAGTTAAGTGTACTTTTTCTTTCATCCATAATTTATGAGGATTTAATTTCGAAACACATTTTTATATATACATCACAATTATATTGAACAGAGCTGTGTCCCTTACATAAAGTTATACGTAAAAACTAAGAACAGCTGGTAGACTTACTCTCATCTCTTGTTGGTTTATCACCTTCTTCGTCGAGGGGTCTTCGAGATCTTGTACTCTTTGAATCAAAAACTTGAGTAGGAGCAATATCCAATCGAGGTTCAATTCCTGAGTCCGGAGGATTTCGACGTCCGGGTCTCTTGTCTTTGTCCTCTTTCTCGTCTGGACCAGTCGGTCTGTTCTCTGTAGTTGGACTGGATACTCTTCTGGCGTAAATAACCTCCTCATTCGTCCCTTCTTTAGAGGATTCATCCCCACTCAAAATAGCGGCTTTCTGTCCAACGTTCTCTGCAACGTCATCTTGTCTGGCTCTTGGAGGAGCATATGGAGAAACAGTGGCAGCAGGTGACAACTCTTGAAAGAGAGAAAGAATGATTTTTCTATTAGGGAAGGTAATGATAGTCCTTCTGAGTAGAACCCACATCGGCCATCTTCTGGATAGGAAAAAATTCCCTGTGTAGCAGAAGTTAAATGGTAACTTAAATTTTAATGATATAATTTGATAATACTAATAGGTATCATCAAATACATGTATCAGTTGCACAGATATTTCAACCTTTAAACTCGTTTATGGTAACTTATATTTCAGACCACTGCTGTGTAATTTCCTGTATAATGATTCATTACTTTTAAACTCAGTTTTACAATTGAATATCTTATTAAAATATTTCGCTCAGTTTCTTTCCTGACATTTTTCTGAGCTGAGAGATAAATGTTGAGAGAGAAATGTAAAATCTCCTAAATTTTAAATACTGTTATTATTCAAGCTGATTTAAATGAAGATTTTAGTGGGAAAGGCTTAAAATTTATAATATTTTTAAAGCAATTAACTGTCTAGTATAGTTAAGTGAAACTGTTAAAATCAAAATGCTTAGGTTTTCCTATCTGAAGTATCTCCGATGTTTCTGGATTGAAACTTTAGTATTAAAGAGTGATAAACGCCAAATATTTTACCTAAAAAGTTAAAACATACATATAATAAATGCAGCAATGGCATTCGAATGTTGTATTCTTTATAATGCTCCAAATTTAGGATTCCGTATGTTATATTAAACAGCAATAATTAAATCATATTTTTTCCACAAAATCGTAAAACACATACTTAAAGAGGAAGAAACTATATTTGGCTAGAGGATGCTTTTCTATGCTTGAAATTAAAATTGCTAAATTTTGCATGCTACTTTTACATAATGTTTTAGAACTTATACTATTATATCAATTTCACTATTTCATATCTTTGTTTCATTAGTCTTTTTAACGACTGGACTAACCACTTTAAATAATTTTCTCGAATAGGTAGCTACAAGTTTAATAAAGCTATAAGTTTTAGTTATGTGACATGCATTTAAAGCTTATGTAAGTCACTGCTTAAAAATATTTATTGATTACCATCATCCTCATTTCATCTTGTAATAAGAATACCGTTTATTACAGATATTTTTCCGATATTCTTAATACAGCTATTATTTTGATTAAATCGTAAGTGCAAAAAACAATGAGGTGTAATTATTATAGACATAGAATGCGATAAATATATAATATATCATTTTAAAATTAATATTACGTTTTAAATTTTGAAGCTAATTTTTACGAGAGCTAAGTTTTCTAGAAACATAGCTCTCGTAATATTAAATATTCTTACTGAATAGTACAAGTAAAATACATTTTACTTCAGATTACATATAGCAAATATAACTATTTCTATTGAAAAAAATATTATGCAGGGGCCGAGTGGTTAAAATCACTAACATGTAACATTTCAGCCTGGCTCTGACGTCTTGCAGTAAAGCAAAACTGTGGCATTGAATTTCTGAGGTTTCTTAAGTTTCTGACAAAAATGCAGTTTTGCCTTTTTTAGTAAACGTCTATTGCCGTTAATAATATATGGAAAAAAATGTATGCAAAATATTTTTGTCAATTTTTAAATGGAAGAAAAGTGCATTCCTGGCAAAACGTACACTACGCAAAAAAAAAAAAGGGGGGAGGGGACAGTTCTATATCTTCCATTCTACAGGGCTGGTTGACGAAATTCAACTTGCGTTTTTCATGTCTCGAAATCGCGACTTAGGATACGTATTAGCTTTATATATAGAATTGTTTAAATATAGATATTTTGACACAAAATCGGATTTTTTTTAACTGATATGCCACGTTTTTTCCATAGTTCGATTCTACGACTCAAATTATGCCAACCTGCCAAATTTTGTAAAAAACGAACGAGTCGTTTTTTAAAAATTAGCTCTCAAACTTTTAGCTCCTCAATGTTAATTAAATTTGATGCATATTTATTAATATCTCTTTTTGTTATCAAACTTAATTGATTCCTTCTTCCAGAATTCTAAATTTAGGCTTAATCCAAATAAATTCGCACATTTTTTATTATTTATTTTAAAAATTTGTATTTTTGAATATTTTTTATAAATTTTCGAAAAATATTTTGAATTATAACCTATAATATTTTTAAAATCATCTATCTGCAAAAATTAAAGTTTTTTATTTAAATTTCCGAAGTGAATTTACATTTTGGCGCGTTTTGACATTTGCCGTATTTAATAAAAGCGACAATAACGAAAATGAAGTTTACGCACATTGTTAAAATTATTTGAAAGAATGCCCGATGGACCTGTTTTACTTCCTTATACGAAGTAAAAAGGAAGTATTGTAATCGCGAAAAGTTTCAGGAATCATATTTCAACGAAAATATCCATTTTGACCGCTCTCGAATGCAATTTAACGCTGTTTTTGTGTGGCATCTGTATCTAAGAGCAGAATAAAAGACTTTTTCCATCAAAAATAATTATAAAACATGCATTAAAATATATTCTGAAGAGATTTTTCGTGGTATCTCGCGTAACTCAAAAACGAGTAACCTGAGAACATTGAAATTTTGTATGTAGGACTGCTATAACATGTAGATATGCAACTCGTATTTTGGTTGCAATCGGCCGGATTAAAAGTATATAAATATATGTATATATAGTATATCCACTCTGTTACCCAACTCAGTGAGCTCAGCTACATTACTCTTATAGGTTTGTAAATTGTGCATTTTTTGCTCTAAAAATGATTGAATTATGTTGTTCTTATCTTCCGGTTAAGGTTTTTATGCTTTAGGAAATCTGCAAGCAATATTTGAGAATTATCAACAATTTAAAAGCTGTTTAGGTGCGGTTAAGCCTAACCTTTAAATAACACGGCGGACAAATTTGTTTACATTTGAAACAGCAGAATAGTAGAATTGTTTCCAATCTAGAGAGACTAAGCTTCGCAACAACAAAGTTAGCGCCTTCATTTACTATTGCGAATTAAATGATGCTTAATCCTCTCTGGAATTTTTTCGAGGAAATAGGTGTTTAAGATTTACTTCGCAATTTATAATATAGATATTTTGAGTGTTATGTACTTTTGCCTTGTCGCGAAGTAATAACTGAATTAATTGAATGAGAAATCTGAATCGTCTGTGAAAAATTGTTTCTTTTTTTGTTTTATTTGCTTAATTTGTTTTATACATCGTTTTAGATTTATTATAGTATTTGAATAGAACATGTGGCAACGATTAGATAATTCTTTAAATAATATAGATTTTGTGCATTCTGAGTTATAATATGAACGAAATATAGTGCTGTTAAGTGAACCTAGCGCCAGAGTGTCGCTTTAGTAAACAAATATAGTGAATTTTAAAGAATGCATTTATTCTATTGTGGTTTATGTGCTGTCGGTGAAGTAGATCTAATTCAATCCAATAAGTTTAAATGAAATGCAAGAAAAAATGCGTATAATTTATTATTCCGTACAAGGAAGTCATATGGTTTACACATCAGAATTTTTACTCTCGTGTATCAATGAAAAATAAGGAAGGTAAATAGGTAACTATAAATTAAGAATTCCACCAAGTGAATTATTCTTGGCGAAAGACGGAAAAAATTCGCCAAGATAAATTTCTAAATTCCTCCATAAATTTCTCACCAGAAATTACAAAATTGAATATCTAGGCATAATTTGAGTCGTAGAATCGAAGTATGGAAAAAAAATGGATATGTTATTTCTGGAAAAGTTGATTTTGTGTCAAAATACCTATGTTAGAATAATGCTATATATAAATCCAATATATATACTACGTCGCGCTTTCGAGACATGAAAATCGAAATTTGAATGTCGTCAATCGGCTCGGTAAAAAGGGAGATATAGAGCTGTCCCCGCACTTTTTTTTTGCGCAGTATATATCTGTTTAATCTGATCATGGGTTAATGTTGTTAAAAATTCGCATGTTGTTATCGAATTGTATACGAAAACACAGAAAATACATCACTTATTATGATCAACAATAATTTGGTTAATATGATCCAAATATTGTAATATAAACTTTTAAACTGAAGTAAGGTCGCCAGATACTTTCAAAATAGGTTATAAAATTTTCAAGTGACAGAGAAATGTCGCCGAATAAGAGAATAAATGGGCAAATAGTGTGAAATCGATTCCAATTCCAATCAATCATTTAAAATCAGGCAAAAAAACAGCTTTATAGTTTAACTTTTATTTTAAGTAACTCTAGTGATTCTGAGGACGATCAGACAAAGGTATCTCTTCTTCAGTAGCAAAAGAATGTCTGCAGAATTTCGCTGAAAATATTTACACCATACTAAGATTGCTTTTTTGCCTAATTTTAAATTTTACATTCTCATTCTTTCTTCCAATGTGAGATGCCCTTCGAGTATTAGGATCAGGGATACAGCATCGGTCAAATGATTTCTGAAAACCAATGAACAGCTCATAAGCGAACTTTTGCATTAAAGATGAGTTCATAAACAGCATTTCTATATTTGTAATTAAATGCTTCGAAAATATCCATTTTTATGTTTGTAGTTATATTTATATTAAATTCGTTGAACTTCATTAGGATTTTGAAGGATACTTTTTATCATTACTTAATGTTATCAAAATAGTAGATGGCAAACGTGATCGTATTAAGCGCCGCCTACTATACAAGGTGTAACAAAACAAAAAACAAAAAACAAAACAAAAAAAAAAAAAAAACCGAGACTGGTCCAATAAATCATTGTACTTACAGAATCAGTTCTCCGTTATATTATCACCTTTAAAGTACTTCCCTTTAGCATTCGCACACTTCTGCATTCGGAGTCGTTGCCATTGCTTGCAACAGTTCTCGAACGAGGCTTTTGGAAGGCCCTTCAGGAAATTCTCTGTTTTTGCCTGAACCTCTTCAGCTGAGGTAAAACGGGTTCCCTTTAAGTAAGATTTAACTTAAGAAATAAAAAAGTCGCATGGAGCCAAATCAGGTGACTAAGGAGGATGCTCCAGCACAGTAATGTTTTTGCTGGTTAGAAACTGGTTGA